TCAGAGAAAATAGTCTGACTCAAGGATTTCAGAGATAGTGAAAAGTTACACTAAGCGGAAGAGCAGTCATTCTGCTAAAAACTTTCTTTCCTTAAAGAGGTGGTATTATGATAAAAAAAAAATTCATACTGCACATTCCTGCAGCTCCTCTTTTCACCCTGTGTGTTGAAAGCTTTGTTTTAGCTATGGAGTGATACATCTTGTCTCTAAATGATCTTTGTTGGGAGTTGCACATGCGCAGTTCCTAGTTAAGGACTACTAGCCAATCAGAAGCCTTTGATTCAGCTGTAGGCTACATGTTGCCGACCAGCTTAGCAACATAGACTGGAGCAAGAGTTTCAGAGTGGTGAGTTATTAATCTATAACAAAAGTATCTTTCATCCATAAAGTTATAACTGAGCTCTGTCTCTACATCACAGTAACAACTATATGTCCATTGACTGCCTGGAGGGTAGCTAGTGTCTGGAAGGGAGAATAGAGGTGTGTGCTGCAGCTCAGAGTTTTTCCACTGGTGTTTTTGAGAGTCTGTTGGACTAGCCGCTTGGCGAGCGTTATATGAAGCGCATTTAGCTTTCATCCCTGTCTCGTCACAGGGACGAAATGGAAGCGGCTGGACTACAAATAAGCTGTTTTCAGGCAGTTCAGAGCAGAGTTTTCTGTGGGAGATGGGAACTCCCTTTGGGCTTGACTTTGGGTATTTTCACTTTGCAAACCTAATACATGCACAAAAAAGGTATATAACTCAATAAAGAAGAGGGAAAAAGCCAAAAAGCACAATACCACCTCTTTAAAGTTTGAGTGTCACAACAGCAGGAGCAATAAGAAAATAGAAGGTCAGCTGTCATGTCAGCATTAACCTTTTTCTTCTCGATGATGATATGTTATTAGACTAGCTAATTTGCCAACCTACCGCACTTGGTATAGCTTTAGGCACTCTCACCTTTTTTTCTTTGGCTCCGTCCTCTGAGGTTTCACTGAATGTGATTTTATTTCATCCTCAAGAGCAGCTCTGAAAGCCTTAAACAAGGTCTCTGATTTTCTCAGATATATCTGGACAGAAATCATGGTCGTGGGGCTGTGCAACTTCAGTGGACAATCTGACGAATGTAGCTGTGAATTGCCGGTTTTAAGGAGAGTTGATGAGTTTGATTCAGATGTTCTGGTAGTGCTATGGGATACTGAGATCAATATTCGGTGAATTAGTAATAGCAGAAATGTGTATATATACATATACGTACATATTATAAGCTTTGGCACATGATACTGCTTTATAGTGGTGCAACAGATCACAAAAGTCATGGTTCAAATCAATCTGTGGTTTTGAATAACGGGTCGGATAATTTTCAGATCAGCAAAAAAAAAAAAAAAAAAAAAAGAGTTAGGGTTAAATTTATTTTATAATGCGCTACTTTGGTACTGATGTAGCCGCCTCTCTATAGTCTCACTCAACTTCTGATTGGTTACACGTCACGAGTAATAGCCTATCAACACTGAAGGCTGCTGTGCCACAGATTGGCAAAGAAATTGAGCTGCTATGTTGAACGAGCGGAGCTGTGTGTCGAAGGTAAGGCAGACTCACCTAGGGCTGTCGCAATAACGGCAAAATTGAAATAGTCACACTATTGGTCAAGCCTACCGCGGAGGATGGCAAGCGCTGCAACAACCGCAATGTTCATATACTGTACACTTCAGGGCGTGTTAAATTAATAAATGAGTGCTTCAAAAGTTCTACAACCGTAACGAGCTCTGTAATGGTTCAAGGATGGATCGCCATGAGCTGTACGAGACCCGACTTCAAACTCTGAAGTTGTAAGTGTTGCCGTGTTTTGTGTTGTTTTTCTGTTTATTTTAAAGGTTAGCTAACTTGGCGTTAGCATATTGCGCGGCTAATGTGGCTAGCAGGCTCGGCGATGTTGGACTAACGTTGTGATCCTGAGGGACAGTCCAGAGGAACTGTGGACAGTAAGCCTCATTTGAATCTCACTAACTAAGGAGCGTAGTGTGTCGGTAGCCTGCAGCTGTTTTTCATGTTGCTTTCTGTGGAAATTTAGTTTTATCGTTAGTTGTGGACAGCCATTCTGCTCCACACTAGCGTGTGTGTGTGCGTGTACATTGCTGTGGTATGTAAATTGACTTGATAGACATGCCCTGAAGGTAATGATATAGCTACGTTTGAAAAAGACACGGTCAAACAACAGTTTGTTGTTGACTAGCACGCAGCAGCTAACTTGCTCAGACCATAAAGCTGCTGTTAGCGGCTCGCTGTGCAGTGAAGTGACAGATACAGACACTTTTACTCTGCTATATGTCACAAAATTACTTCATTTATGAAAAATGTGATGATACCGCATACTGTTGAGCCCCAATATACTGCCACGGTGGAAATTACTTCACCGTGAAAGCCCTAGACTTACCAAAAGCTTCCAATATCTAACATCATCATAAATGTAGTATACGTACTGGAAGTGGAATTGTTTGACTGCATCCAATTGTATATGCTGCACTTAGCATCACAAGCTGAATATGGATCACAGACGCACAAACACACAACATAGACTATTAAACTGCATTTTCTGTTAATGCTTTTCTCTTTAAACATTCTTCCTCTCCTTGTGCTTTAGATTACAAGGGACCTTACCAGAACATTTTTACTTCACATTATGTCTGTTAGGCTTTTAGGAGAACAGCCTCAGCTCTGGTAGTCACTTACTACTGAAATAACAGTCATGCCCCATTTCATTCCATTTTCCACAACAGATAGGCCCTCAACCTTTTTAAAAAAAAAACTATGATAAAAAAAAGGACATTGAATTTTAGTACAGCCAAAAGGTGAACAGGAATCTGCTGTAAAATGAACACTGAAGCTCTCAGGTTCTAAAATGTCATTACCAGTTTGGTGAGGTAGCCTATGGAAACAAGGATGTGTTGTTTAGACAAACATTTTAATAAATTACAGCCTTAAAGTGCCACCATGCAAGCATGCCATAGCTGTTATATTAACTCCTTAGTCTAAGGAATTATCTGAAGCTGTCATCTGATGGGGCATACTCAACACAATGAAATGGTGACACAATGTTAGACTTTAATGAAAATATAAAATCAGCTGGTAAAAAGTCTCTTTATCTAGGCCCATGTTGAGAAACAAGAATTCATTAACCATTCCTGACCAATACATGCTGCTCCATTTTACACTGCTACATGCAACTGTCCATAACATTTGTGACTTTTTGTATCAAAGAATAGGAGTGTGACTGTTAATGTCCAGCCAGGCCAGAAACTCTACTGTATGTGCTGCTAAACATGTGTCATGAGCAGTTGTACAATGATATCTCAACTTTAACTTTCTAAACATATTGCTATATGTTGTCTTCAGTGTTTTACCCAAAACCTACACTCTCATATTTAGCTCAAAGCAGACCAGGCCAACTATTCCTCTACCATAACTCACCAATCATTGCCAGACGGAGTGGGAAGGCTGATTGCGGCTCATCAGCCAGTCAGCTGTAAGTGCATACTGAATGCAGCCCATGGTCGAGTGGCTTTCCCTGCTGCCACATTTTTCTCACCTGACTACAAGTCAAATAGTTGTTGTTTTATTCTTGAGATCAGTTTGAGTTGTGGAAAACATGACAGAAGGTCAATACTCGACACGTCTCGGCCTGTTTATTGCTTCCATTCACACGTAGGAAGAGAGGCTGAGAGAGGCTTATCATTTGAAAAGCAGTTGAAGACCAGCTGAGGCAAATGCGATGTGAGAGCACGTCACGTGATTAGCTGTTCTCGCTATCCTGCGCCTGCAGCTAGGCGCCATTGTAAAATGCCATTATAGCTAAGGCTCCTTCCCCATACACTCTGAGCTGAGCTTATCCTACAGATTTCAATTCTGTGCAGTCCTTGGATCCTATAGACACATATCCCAGCATGCACTGCAATCCTCTGGCTGCCTAACCCGATTAAAAATAATGCAAGTACCCCTGTGAATCTGCAGCCTCCTCGAGTTTGAAAGTGAAGCACTCCATCTCTTTGTCCAGCACAACACTTTGGCTGTGTGAGTAAATGAACATCCTGCTGAAATCCTTTTCTCGTGATGAAGTGACTGCTGCTACTGCTGCAGCAGCAAAGAATGGACATTACGTGGGGAGTACATTGTAAGAACTGCCAAACCCTGAAAAAATCCACTGGCAACATAAAACAGTGCAGAAATGGAGCGCCGCGGTAGCCGAATGGTTACAGCGCATACCATATAACCACAAGAATGTTTATGTCAGTAGGCAAGCGGTGGTTTTATATTTTCAGTAATAGTCCTATAGTGTTAGCTGTTCTAAATTAGCAATAACTGGCAAACACACGCTCTTATTTTTGGGGCTCCCAAGGCAGTTCACTAAGAGCTAGAATCATTTTCAATTTCATCAGTTGCTCCAGTTGCAAATAAAAGCACCAAATTAGCAGCAAATATCACATTATGCCTCTCAATTACAGACGTTTTAATTAGGGGGAGCAAATGTGTTTTGAGAAGCACAGATGCACATCAATTCCAAATGTTCTTTCTTTTTTGTTCCCCTTAGGCCAGCCTTACTGGCTAAAGAAATAGACATTCAAGCCGACAACCTCCCACACAAATCCATACCAAAGACCTGAAACATTTTCAATGCATTTTTGAAAAGCTGTGATTTTGAAAATGACAGCATTTGTGAGACTGATGAAAAGTGGTTGGTGAGATTTATTTTGGAGAGAATACTACTGATATCTGAAGTGAGAGAGAAAATTGAAGAAAGGAAAGTGAAAGCACGCAGACATGGCTTATGTAGTGCAAGAAAGACAGAAAGCCACGGTGTCAAATCAATAGTTAGATTGTTGCTGTTTGTTTCTCTGTGGTTGAACATAACTGCAGCAAATCAAAATCAGAAAGGTGTTAGACAAACAAACTACAAATTTACAGCTCAGTCAGCCAATTCATGGGGAGCAGATCATTTTATGCGAATGCAGAATATGTTGGGTTGATATTTACCGGTAAGTGTCGAGGCTCTGATCTCATTACTCGCAACAAGCAAACACCAATCTCAGCACAACACAGATGTGGGAGTGTGATAATAGACATCAACCCAGGGGAGTTAAGAGCCTACAGGTGGACTCTGGAGTAGAGATAGGACTTATATAATGCTACGTGACCAGCAAAATCTGTGGCAGCGGTGTGACAACAGGAGATGGAAAAAAGCAGTGCAGTAACTTAGAGGAAAGAGTGAACAGAGCTTCAATGTCAGCCTTGCAGCAGGTAAATATTTAACGCTCATGTGCTCGGAAACATCTGTATTAAGTGTCATGTGGCGTTAGGTGGTATAAACCATCCATATATGCATATATGCTTGAGGTTTGCAATGTGTGGTAGCAGTGCAAACAGTACTGTAGAGCAGAAGCTCAGCAGGTACGCTGAAGGTAATTGCATAACGTTACAGTCTGAGTATGAACATCAAGTAAATGTGACTAAATACTGTGAAGCCATGTGGAGTTTTACAAGAAATGCAGAATAAAACCCCAGAACAAGGGTACAACCTGCAGCAAAACACCCCAAAAGGTAACTTACAGCAAAATGTGCAGTATTAGAAACAAATTTATTGTTAAAACCAATGCATTTTATGATAAAGGTCAGTTGACCCCACAACACTCTCAATAATATTCAGTGAGTATCAGAAAACTGTTTTACAATTAGCAGGGAGCATGAGCTCAACCACTACAAGAAAGCAATAATTAGCGATAGTAATTAATCAGAGCAAATACTGTGATTAGGCAGATAGCATGTAAGCTAACATACCGCTTGAGGTCAGCAGAAATGAGCAATAAGGCAATAACACAGGCAACATCATATATTTCCAATTTTAACTAAGCACACAATTACAGACCGTAAAGGTTAACTGTGTTAGTGTTCTTACCTTGCTGTTGTGAAGCAGATGGCATGTTAGTAAATCCTTTAGGAAAAATTGGTAACAGCAGGACACTTTCGCCTGTAAGTGCGCCGTTGCCAGTTGACCGTTGGAGGCCAATAAATTCGCTAGCGTTAGCTGGCTAACAGCGTGTAGCAGCGGAGGCTAAGATTAGCAGCACTAACGCGGTCATTTCCTTTGGAAAGCCGTCCCGAAGCGCCATGTTCAGGCTTATTAAATACCACAGAAGCAACAGTGGTAAAGAGGAAGAAACTTTTTTTTATGTAATTGGACCTGTAAAAGTGTTTTCGGGCGGCTTGTGATAAATTCGGCTACAAAACACCATAATGAATTGCCCTCTTCTCCGTTGTCATTGAGATTGACGGGGCACTTCAGTAGGCTCAACACACAATGACTGCTATGACTGACGATACCAAATGTCATGAAAGTTTATTTCAACTTTAAATTGCTATTCCATCAGCTCTGTGCGGACTTTTGTGTTTCATGTAAGACCTGGCCTTGGATTTATTATACTAATAAAACAGAAAGCCAAAGGCAAGTCCTAGGACTTGTATTTAAAAAATAAAAAATTGTGCTACATTTATGATAATTTGGCAGATTTCAGGCTCAGATTTGGCTACTTAATGTCAGTAAAATCTGGCAACACACTGCAAGTGCCTTAACTTGTTCTCCACTCTCACTCTCTTTCCGCTCTTACATTATTCAAGTTCCCATTTCTTATCAATAACCAGTGATCAAAGCAGACAGGTGCAGTGGCAGGTGGTGGAGTGGCTATACAGTTCCTGTAAGGGTAAAATAATGTCCACAACAAAAGCCTTGTGAGGCTCTGGAAGTCTTTCATCTGGCTGAGGCAAGAGATAACGAGAGAGCATGCAAGAGAGCATCATTACAAGTCCATCTACACTCTTTATCTAATCACTAATGGCTTTGGAGAGGGGTTTCAAAACCATCAACACTGCTGTTTCACAATGTTTCCCGCAATATCCCCTTACAGCCAGTCATTATGTAAACTAGAGTACAAAATATACTGTTCCACAGACTATTTTTGCTCCCTCTCTTCCTTTTCCATATGCCAGTCAAGATGACCTTTTTCAGTTGATGGATGCCAAAGTTACAGTGATCTCTTGTGGACTGGCAGTGACTTTTAACATCTGATGTGACAGCTAGATTTTCTGATTATTCAGAGTACATCAAGAGCCTGTCAAGGTGATCCCTGTATCTGAGGAAAATAATCTTAATGTACCACTCTCATACAATAAGACAGACAATATTTCGGATAATGGTGATTGGTGGAAGTACTAAGCCAACTGTCTTGCTTTTCTTTGTGTTAAAGGTCAGTATTTCACATTTCTTCCTGAAGACCGCTTCATACCAGCCAGATTCAGCTTTTTCTGGATCCATATCATCATGCGCCCAGTCGATGGTTCCTGCTAGTGTAGGAACATGGGTAGCACCACAGGGAGAATGACCTTTTCAGCCATGTGTCACCTGCCCATGATGCTCCAGGTGGTCCTCTCAGCATAGCGTGTCTGAATGTCTATGTCATGATGCTCCAGTGAAGCAACACTGAAGGAAATAGGATCACAGCAAAGTATTAGACTCAAGCACACACACACACATTCACAGATACACTTTTATTTTATTTTTATTCATCTGCAGTTGGCAAGTGTTTGGTTTAAAGAGAAGGCATTTAGACAGTTGGTATTAAAGCTGCACAAGGCGAAAGTTGGCAGCACAAAGACAGGCAAAATATCAAACCTTGGTGAGGCCAGCTCAATGTGGAAAGAACAATCCTTCTACTGTTCAGGAAAAAGTTTGCTCTTTTATATGATTAATTAATTATTGGTAGAACCATTCACAATAGGTTATAAGCTGACACTATCAAGAGTTATCAGATGCTCTGAGAAGTGTTTGAAGTCGCAAGAAACCAAATTCATATTTACCCCTTTAAAGCATCAATGATTTTTTGTTGTTTGCCTTTGGGTTTGATTATCAGGATATTGAAAGCTAACGGCCACTTTTCTCTGTTGTGAAACAGGTCTGATGCAGATCCAATTTGTTTTTAGTAGGGCAGATTTTTTGTTATTCAAATCTTTTTTGTTTTAACCATGAATCTTACTTTTAGATTTACTGCCAGGGGACATCACCCACACAAAGACCTTTAGCTGTTGTAGCGGCGAATCCAGTGGTCTAACTGCAACACTTTTGAACACAAGACTAAATGTAACTGTCATCCTGTTGTTTTATTTGCAAAAATACAATGCATCCAAAAATTGTATTAGCAATAAACATATTAAAAAATATTGCCTAATCTTTGATCATGATGCAACAGCTTCACAAAACTATTGTTTATTATTATATGTGCATGTTCCTAGACAACATAAATAATGAATGCAATGTTTTTCTGCAGGTAATTATAAAAAATATAATGCAGCACATTGTCCATCGCTTATACTTGCTTTATTTACAAAGTTTCAGTTCTTAGACATTCATGAAAATTAATGATTGAATGACTGAAATAAAAAGATTTTTGCGTGAGTGTGTGTGTAACTGGTAGTTTCTAGTGTTGCGTGCGTTGTGTTATGAAGTGGAGACACAGACCAGGATATCACTGTTTATTCTCTCTCTGACAACAGATGTAAATACACAATCCTCCAGTCAGTTGTCATGTTAAATGATATATTAGCATACTACACAAGTTTCTAGTATCTTCCATGAAGTAGAACAAAAGGGAAGAGGAAACAGTGAGAGGGGGGTCCCCTGAAAGCAAACGTAGGGGTACAGAAAATAAATCACAAATGTTCCTCATATATTAACACAGGAGATCTAACACGTCAGGTGATAACTATTTACACAGAATAATGTGTAATTATAATATTACATATTTGACTCTGTTACACGTGCGTGTGTGTGTAAATAAAGTGTGCAGGAATATTTTTTGTTCTTTCACATTTGGAGTTTTTGATCTGGAGCATCTGGCAATAAGACTTTCTGGTGTGCAAGAACTTTTCAGTTATTAACAGGAGGTTTATGAAATGTTTGGCCTTGGAGAACAAAAGGTTTCAAAAGAGTTGCGGTCGTAAAAAATGATTTCCCATGTAACCACACCAAACAAAATCGAAGCAACAATACACTAATTGGATGGATTGCCTACCTCAAGCAAGGTTAATTTCCATAGAATAGACAAATGAACACCATTGACTACTGCCAGTGGGAAATACTAGGCAGAATGTAAAATTCAGTACATGCAATTTGCAGTTAATGGACTAAAAACACCCAAAACCATTCATGTGGCCCTTAAAATGTGAATATTAATCTTGTTCACTCTCTTCGAACAACAAGTCTTGAGAGCAGGTTTCCAGGCATCCAAGGTCCAAACAATCCAGGACAGTGCACCTTCTGCTGGCGTCAAATGAAACCTAACAGGGATAATTGCCTTATTAAGACTTCCTATTAAGTAAGCTCCCCTGTGAGCTGCCGCGGGAATGGTCATGCATATATGGATGAACCCCGCACTCGTCCTACTCGGCTAGTAACCACCTGTGAGCTGTCTGGCAATGCACGTATTCCATAGATAAGGCGGGGTAGCTGTGGGTGGTGATGGCTGACGGATGAATGGAAGGACAAAGAGGACAGAGGCAGCTATGTTTTAGTGGTTGACAGCCATTTTTCAGAGTAAGTGTAAATGACAGATGGATGATTAGTGTATGTGTCTCTAGTCCATCTGTACAGAGTCTATTCACACGCTGTTTACATATTGCAGGATGGCAGAGAGAGGTCAGACTCCGGCCACTTTGGCTTCTACACTCCCAGGATTCACCAGAAAGATTATCTTTGATTCTCAGACAGCACGCTTGATGATGCTTGCGTGTTGTTTGAGTGTCCCTCCCATGGGAAAGCTCAGAATGATGCACCTCTGCCTCTCCCCTGCTGACTTGGCAGTGCTGATGAGGAGGCGGAGAACGGGAGGGGAAGCACATGTTTGTGTGCTTTCATGCCGAGCAGGAGTTGTTGCACGCATCCCAAGGCAGGTCCCCTCTTAAACCACACTACGCAACAACACGAACACAACAGCAACAACTTCTCAGAGGGAGGCCGGCGCTGCCATGGTAACAGCGTAGAGTGACCTTCAGAGGCTGTTGATGCTCCCCAGAGCTGCCTCCTATTCTGCTTGGCATGGACTTTGTGAGTCATCAACAACATTCAAATTCACATGCTCCCTCCCTAGAGGTCTGGGGCTTATTAAAATTGATGAGCAAATGGGAAAAAATTATGGAAATAGCAATAAGCAAACTAAACTAACAGCATTTTCAGCTTGCTTTCAACCTACTACTGTCAATAACAAATCTGTCATAAACAAGATCTGTCACAAGTGAGATTATGACAATAGCACATGCAGGATCAAAGGGTGTTGTGTTCCACCATGAATCCATCAGTATTTACATAGAGTAGCATGAGGATGCAGGCTGTTATGTAAGAGTTATTCAAAAAGTTTTTACAGGAAGTGCCTCTGCGCTGACTAAGAAGGAGCTCTGCTGAAATTACTCACAACAAACCACAGGTGGAATATAAAATAACTAACACTTTACATCAGGAGAATTAGGCACTGGATACCCGTACTAACCTCTGCCCACCTAATATATTATTAGGGTGTTCCACCAGGAGAGCTGGTCACCAAGGAGCACTGAGCACATAAAAAACACATCGGAGTCATGGTAGATTACCTCTTTGTATCACACCTATGGGTTCCAGGCTGGGAACACTGCCACCCACTGGAGGAGAAGAGGAAGTGAGGCATGGTTGGGGGGGAATCTCTCAATCTTCTTCAGGATGACTCGCCGGCTGAGTTGGTTTCTGGAGGCACAAATGCTTGTTTATCACCGTAAGAGTTCAAGTAAACGACGGCAGCGCATTCACAAGATAAAGCATCGATAATGTTTCCAGCAACCATTTGGTGGCAAATGTAGAGCAGCACTTTGTCATCACATTTATAGTAAGTGTTAGTCATCTATCTGGCAGTCAATACTTTGCCACTTTGTACATTGTTTGATGGTTTTATATGCATTCAGTGTGTGTGGTTGTCAGTGGGTGTTTTGAGGAAGAGAAAGAAGAGTGTGTCTCTGTGTGTGTGTGTGTGTGTGTGTGTGTGTGTGTGTGTGTGTGTGTAAAGGGGGGGGGGGGGGGGGGGTCCTCCCAAAGCATACCTCTTATATAGACCTGATTGGACAACCGGTCAGAATCTTTGAAAAGATTGATTGAGATGATTGGGATACACGCGTCGTGTCCCGTTGCCATGGCAACCCCCAGGCGCCGGGAGGAGATCTTCTAAACAGATGACTTAATTCCCAAAGGAGAGACAAGCCACTCAAGTCTGTCATCCTCTGCTGCGATGGGGCTTTCCACTTTCCTTATGGTGTGTGTTTGTGTGTGCACAACAAATTGAACAGGTCTGTTGTGCTGCCGCGGTTGGTTTACCATGCTTAAACCAAAATGGAATGTCCATGTGAAGCCCATGCTGATCAGGCTGATAGCAGAGCATGTAGAGTTTTGTTGTTTGCCTCCATAGGACGGCGTCTCAAGGTGATGATGGCATTCAATTTCCCTCAGAGATTGCGGAGGGATGGTATCATTTAAATTGTACACAGGCCTCATGGACTGGGCACTGATTAGCCTGGGAGAAAAGAATCAATCCACATTTCTTCACACACATACAACTCTTTCTTTATTCTTAGGTCATATTGTATGCAAAGTTCAAATAAAATATAGGATATATAGTATATTATTCCCTTACAGTGTTTAATGTGTTTATTCTGCCCATTTTATGACACACAGTCTCCATTAAAACCTATTTTAGGGGTTGGCAATTTCAAAATATTGGGTTTTGATGCAATACCAAGTAATACCAGGGCCAGAATCATAAATATCTACATCAATACACACACTTTCTGACCATAAAATGTATTATCATGTATATGGGAGCCATGTGTCATGATTAATGAGGTGAATGTATCCTTATTAGGTTACTTTGGTATACATTTTCAGTGTCACCTAACATTTTGCCAAACATCAGGCATTTCTTTTTATTATTTTCTGTTAATTATTTAACCATATGCATTGAAACACAAAAGATAAATGACAAATGTTTATTGTATTTTTCTTCTGAACTAACGAGGGGATGGCTGTATGCACACGTGTCACAGAAACAGAGTATATGCACTAGTTCAGGTGCCCCAAATGCACGAATTTCTCTGTATCAATCTTGAGGATGCTAGTACTGATACTCAAAGCAACACTTGGTATCGGGAATACTCATACCTTAGCTATCAATCTACCTACTTTTGGAAACATTACTGTTTAAGAAAAAAATGTCTAAGAAAAAAATGTGTAAAAGTTTGCAGACCATGGATTACCAAACAGGGGCCTCAGGGGCCTTGACCTTTATGGTCCTAAAAGCCCCATATTTATCGTATCAGTTGGTTTATGATAAATTGCAGATACTGTATGTGCAAATATGGACACAAAAAGTGAACTGGATGACCTTAAGGCTGGTCTTAACTTCCATGGTGAGTTCTCCTAAATAACATTCCTAAATAAATTTGTGTTAAACCAAAATTAATTGAGGCCCACAACCCAATTTTGCCCCAGGGCCCCATAGCGACTTAATCTGGCCATGATTAGCTGTGGTCCAACGTTGTGCCCAAGTATAACACATACCAACTAATATCGCATATTCAATACAAAGCAAATATTACCCCAAAATAGAGGCAAACCAACATATTAGTTTAATACTATTTCACAACCCTAGGATCATTCAGGTGAAGTTAGAGGAGAAAATGTTTGTCTTCTGTTAATTCCAAATGCAGAGAAAAGTCAAGGCCCCCTACATGCTCTGTCAGCTGGAGGCGCTTTGTGTGTTTTCTCCAGCCGGCGGAGCTTCCTCATGAATATTGACGTCTAAATCAAAGTGTGTTTTTGGTTAATTACATTCAGAATAGTTTTTTTTTACTGTGGCAGATTAAATTTTTGTATGTTAGAAAACATATCCTTAGTTTTTATATAGGTATAGCCAAAACATATACAGTACTGTCACCAAGAAGTACACCAAGTACACCAAGAACTACATTATTTGAGCCAACTGGACAGAGATCCTGTGGACAAAATGGACAGAGCTGGGCCCAAAGCTTAAAGACAGAAGATGAAAGTTATAGAAGCCAGACCAATGGAAGCACCAGCCAACAGGCCAAAGGACAGAGCAGAATATGGGTTTGTAGTGCCATCTCAAATAGATCTCTTTTTATAGGATAATGGGTTATGAGGGGTAGACAGAAGTCATTTTGGCAAGAGAGTGATTTAGGTGACAGCTGCAGTGATAAAATGGGCCAGATGGAATGAGTAGAAAGTGTTCAAGTATGCTTTACAGCAGCTGATAATGTAATAGCTGCCAGATAAAGTAATAATCATTTGTCAAAATGTAATAAAATGTCTTTGAAAATGGGTTGAAATGGAACATAGCGTTTAAATTTATTAGTTTCTGGCTAATAACGTAGCATTATCAGCATAACATTATCAATTTATATTCATTGACATTATTATCATAACTTATTTAGATTTTTGGTCACCTTTAAGGGGTGTTCTACCACGTTTTATTATCCAGCTGCACCCACTGCGTCTGTTGTTGTGACTGCTTGATAGTACAAAAAAACACATTTGTCCTCCACTCCTTCACTTAACTATTTCTGCTGACAGCTGCCATGAGGCCAAGCTAAAGAAGAAAACTAAACATCTAAAACTTTGACATTACTCTGAACCAAACTAGGTAAATTATGCCATTTGGTAAATGTCATGCCTTTGGACTGCCATTAGTTGATTCCTCTCAGTTTGTGAACTGGGTTTGAATCCCACTGACTTTTACAGAGCATTTCAACAAAGGGCAGCTCCACATGTGGGCCAGGTGTTGAGGGACATGCATGTGAGACGAGTGAAGTCTTGTTATTGCAGTTCCAATTCTAACATGGTGGTGTTTGTCTTCAGAGAGCGGCTGGCCAAGCGGTGTGACTTCAAAAAGGCACTTTCATGGCGGCGCGACGGAGGAATCTCACAAACTTGAAAGAGACAGTGAGAGACTGTGCCTTCTGCTGGAAGTACAGTGTGACATTAGGTTAGGATGGAAGGTCTGAACGCAATCATTTCCCATCACCAAGGACACTTCAATTTGACTGGCTTTAAAGTGTCACCTCAGACATTACTTAGTTTCGAGATAATGAGGTATAAAAGGTGCATGGGTAGGCACAAGTCATTTTCAGGCTGGCGGTTGAGAAAATGGGCTGCTGTGATAAAGTGGAGCAGAAGGATCAGCAAAGAAAATTGCACAAATATGTCCAGTATCGTTCCACCCACCCTTTCTGGCATTCTGACCCCTGCCATCCTCGGAGCGGATGAGTGCCTCCCTGCACCAGGGACCCTGGAGATTGAGGAGATTGTCTGGAGAACCAAAAGCATGAAACCAACTGATAATGAAATATGGCTGGGTTTCTACAAGGACAAGATAAGTCCTGCTTCTCATCTCCGTCCCACCAAAGAGCCGTATGTACTTTGTGGTAGGCAGATAGGTCTTTTTACGGCCGTACTTACAAACAAACCAGACTGGACACATGATCATCATTAGAAGCAATAACAATACACCATCCAGTTTAAGCCCTCACAGCTCTCACAGAGGCTGATCACAAGCTCAAATAATTGTCTTGTAAAGGTAGGCATCTCAATGAAATCCTATAGAAAGTGTATTGCTGACAACTACATACTCAGACGTCGCCTTGGTCATTCCCCTGAATGACAAACACAAATTTTCAGCATTTGATGGATGCATTTACGTGAAAAAGCACGGCTTAAATGTAGCACAATCAACAGCACAGAATTATTTAAAAAGAACACAGGCATAGGTTTGCCTTGCCAAAAATATAACTGCAATTCAGCAAGAGAAACTGAATCCTGATGTTGAAATTTGGATGTTGTTGCCGTTTAATGTCAGGTATTTGGCAGTAAAATCATGGCTTATTTTTAGACACCACCTTGATAACCTTTCTGTGTGAATGTTTAGTGTACTTCCCTGATCTCAAAAAAGTATATAAATGTGTCAGGAAACTCACATTTCAATAACCACAGGCTACTGACTGTCTGGTATGTTGAACTGATGATTTTTTAATATTGCCTGATTTTTTAAAAACATTACACCAGTTCTCCCCATCCATTGCAGCCATAAAAGGTTTGTTTTGCCCACTAGCGATGTACAGGAGATGCACAGATGGGCTTCTCACATTCAGGGCCATATCCAGGATTTCAGGAATTCTGAGATCATGAGTTGATGTCCCCCAGACACAGAGAAGAAAACATTTATTTATATTTTATTTATTGATTTACCAATTAATTGCTATATAATTCCAACAGCAACCAGGAAATGATGGCCCAGTAGAATAAAGCATTACAGTTTCATTTCCCAGGATGAAAGTAAAAATGCTCTTTCAAAGCAACAAATTCTGGTGGAGATTGATAAATCATTTATTTTAGCTAACCTAAAAGTAGTCAACTTTAAATATACTGTCATGTAAAACTGAAATCCCCCTGGTCCAGGTTGCTAAAACCCACATATTACCAGAAAAAATACTGAGGTCATGATCTCAGTGGTTGCTACAACCCTCTTGTCAGTCCAATTCTGTTAAATGCTAATGCACCCCCCCACCCCGCCACGATACAAGATGACAAGGACTGTCACTTATCTCAAAAGGTCGCAGACATAATGATATCTTCTTGTAAAGCTTCAAGAAGATAAACAAGCCAAGATCTACTCTTTACAAAGCCTTTTGCTGACAAACTACATTCACATGCAGTGAAACCATTAATTCACTGAGTGATGAGACAGAAAGGATTTTGGTGCTGTCTGAATGTTAATAGAAGTTTGATGTTGCTGGTAAGAGCAAATTAGCAGCCTTTTGTGACAAACTAGAGGCAGATATGAATTGTCTCTGCCCTCTGTGACTAGTACAAATGATAGATCTTGTAACTTTTCATAAAAATGGTAAAAGGGATTATGGAGAAAGCCTCCAGCACTTTCCATCAGCTGAAAAAGGCTATTGTCTGAAAATTTGGTTGACATTAGTCCTGATGTGCTTCCTGTATAGATGCTTCCCTCCCCACTCTGTCATTAGGTGAGCGAATGAATGCATTTCAGGAGTGTAACAGGGGTTCTGTGGGTGGATGGAGGCGTCATGTTCCAGGATGGTGGCTCTCATTTAGTCAGGTTGGTGATTGGCATTTTGATTCATCATGAATGAGAGTGTGTTGAGAGCTAGGCAGAGGAACTGAACCCCCCGCCACCGTCACATTGCATTACCGACTCAGTGCCATGGTATCATCGCATCAAATTAGTCTTAATGAACACAAGCGAGTCGACTGAGGAGAGAGATAATCAAACTTTTATTAAATGTCTTAATCTTCTGTACATGCATAATGTAATGGGAAGAGAGATGGGTCTGTGATGCCTGCCAGGGGACCTTTACCCCAAAATATGTGAAAGTATGTGGAAGCAAAGTTATCTATTGACTACTAAATCTATAAATTATTTGCCCCAGTGCAGGAGCTCAATGAGCAGCTCCTCCGTGGAATACAATGATGTAAATACAGAAAGTAAAATGCCAATACCAGCCAAGCCTGTTCCCTTGAGAAAACAACAGAGATGCATTTCAAATAGTATGTTCCTTCAGTTCATTTGGTTATCATACAAAAAAAATGCACTGTAGCTCACTCCACACATCTTAGATGCAATAAACAGAGCAGCTAAACATCTATCAAATATCGCAGAGACATAACTTGTAAACGAATTACAGAAAGCAAAATGCTTTTTAAAAAAGAATCCACGTATATACTAGGCGAGGGTTTCACCCTAAAGCATTTCATCAAGGACAAGTATAATACTCAGATGTTAACGTTGAAATGCGTAAAGCATATAATTGGTATCATTTTAATTTGGAAATATGAGTCATTTAGGTTTGTAGATGCCCTACAGGGATTCAAATGTACCAAGAAAGTATTGGAAGAAAGTAAATCTGGCACTAATGTTCATTAATAAAGCACCAGGCTTTAACTTTTGTTTTTAAGATTGACAAAAAAATCTCACATGCATTGCAAGGCACTATGCCCACTTTGGCTGATGGTACTGTAGCAGTAATTATGTTGAATTTGGTCCAAGTGTGCCTCGACAGAAGTTTACTGAAGAAACCTGCACTCAGACACAATTTAGACATTGCAGCACTGGAGATCTTTTTAAATATGCCTGGGTACAGACTTTTTTCAAACCTCTAAACAAGTTTTAAAAGACTGTGTGCGCTTGTTTGTGCAGCACATACATTCATTTTACTTCTGCTTTTTGAGACCTCATCAAAAAAAAATAAATTGAAAAAAAAATGAACAATCTAAATGGCCTATATACAGTACATTTACATTAAATATGTATACGATGACAGACAATCCCCATGAGACTGTCGGAGAACATTAGTCCCTAGTTCGCTCAGCTTATACAACAGATGGAATAAATCCTCCTGAGGGAGGAATGTTTTTAAGGCTGTGACGCTGAGGACGACTACTTTACAGTTTCACCTCTAACAGACAGAAGAGACAGAATCAAACAGGTAAAAGGCCGTGCTGCTGGACTTGACCCAGGGCAGGAGCAAAGAAGAGAATACAGATGATCCATTCATCAAGGGGAGACTGGGTTGTTTGTGGGGGGGTGGTTCTACCTCGTCAGCTGACCCACAACTTTCAGCAGAGTCTTGTTCTCCTGTTTGAGTTGCTCATTCTCATCTTCAATGTCATCCAGGTCCTGCGAAAAGGGGCACAAAGGACAGCTGTGGTGTTGGCACTTTCCAGACAGATTTAGACACATGAATATTCACAGCCCTGCTTCTATACCTTTGAGGGCCCCCGTCAGGTTGGAGTGTTAGTCTGAGAGTTAAAGCGGGCATTACTTGTTGCCAGGCTTCCCCCTCAAGCCAGGCTGCCTTGATAGCAACAAATTAGACATTAACAGCTTCAATTAGTTGCAAACGAGAGAGGCTCTCAGTTGCCACAGGGTTGTCTCATCAAAGTGACACTCCTCATTTTCGGTTTCTTCCATCTCCGGTCATGATTGCATGGCTGCTGAGAATGAGCTGAACTCCACTTAGAGAAATTGGCTTTTTGCATAGACAAAGTGGGCTCTCGTGTTACTTTAAAGCGGCTATAATCAATATTGTTATCAGGGTTTTTCTTTAATTACCTAGACTGTGGCGGGCAGTCTCACAAAATCGTGAGGGGAACACTGATTATCATAACGATGTGAAAACAATGTGAAAGGGGTTGCTCATAGTGATCAGCCTACAGAGAATTAGCTCCCCACTGCTTTACAGAGCTTTAAAGTGGCTTCAGCTCATTGTTCAGCTGCCTGGCCTGAACTTTATTGTTTTAGTTCACTCTCACCTGCTGTCTTAGTGTCATTTTTGGCTGTAGCAGGCAGCTGTTTACTGAAGGAAAAAAGCTCTAAAAACCCACAATAATGTTGCTCTGTATGTCCTTGATGTGATGTCCATTTTTTGTTCGCAGCCTATTTTTGCAGGTCTAACCTTTGAAAATGCTAAATTTACTACTTGCTTTATCATTAGATGGAAGATATCATCTGCTTCCATCACACGGATGTGTGTGCTTACAGGGTTCTGCGCAGACAGGATTTCTCTCTTCAAAGTGTATCAAGAGGGAGCTTTATGTCCGGTTGTTGAGCTTTATCTTTTCTTTCGCTTCCAAATAAACTTCTATAGTGACTGAGGGGGTTCAATCTTCTTCTGCAGAGACAGCAGACTGGATCAGCTGTTATCTCCTGCTTTCCCATCAGGCCTTGCGGGAGCCTCTCTCAGGGACATTTCTGATGGCTATCAACGCGTTGACCGTCCCCACATAAAGCCCTTCTCTTATGACCTGCTTCCTGCCCATGTGATGCTATCAATGCGGTGTCTCCTGCAATATTGCACTCGTACTGTTTGCAGACGGGTTGTGTAGAGTGTATCATAATGACTCAAGGGTCAAGATAATAACCGAACACCACCCATTCGACTGCTTGCTCAAAATGTACACATCACTAGCCGCTGTATGTTTTGGCAGAGCTTGATCTCTTGTTTAGATTTGATTGGCTCTGCAGGGGAGAGCTAAGGTCTTTACTCTCTGAATTTGAGACATGAAAGTATTTCAGATCTATCCCCCTCCTGCTACGTTTCCCTTCAGAGATGCCAAAAAACAGAGATGTATTTTACCACCAGCCTCGGTGACCCAGAAAACACGGGCAAAGTCTGCGAGTTGAGGAGGGATTGTTGACAGTCTGGGGCGAGAGGGAGATGAGGGTTCAGAGGGTTCAGAGAGTTTTCACTCTGGCTGCTGACGATAAAGAATCCTCAGCTTACATGAGTATCCCCTGACCTTTCAACCCTGACCACAGAGTGAGGAGGAAACAGGACCCCGACCCATGGGGGAATACCAAACTTAAAAACACACCTGAACCCCAGATAGAGGGTTCACATTAGAGTGAACCCCCCCCCGCCCCCAAACCACAATCTGTCCCTAAATCTGTAAATGTCTTAACATTAACATGTCTGTAAACAATCCCCAAACCTATACTTGTTTTCATTTAACTCCTGAACCTCTGGCCATCCATTTCACTTTGGCATCATCTGTGCTGGTCACAGGCTTTTCCTGATAAAATGACATTCTCAAGGCTGAGGCTCATTTAACTTATAAAATAATGTACGTTATAATGTCTTATTCTTAATCCTCTTTATCCCTGATGAGACATACAGCTTCGACAATCTGTCTCCATTGAGACCTATCTTGTGCTGCATGTTGTGCCTTGACCCATTTAGGTCATTATAACACGGTCCATCCTAACATAACTCTGCACCTGATCCACTAGTGGAAATTGGACTGGGAGGGATGGAATTAAATACATATTTATCCTACTAATGTTGAAGATGATAAATGTTTGGATTGAGATTGGATTACAGATATTTCTTATTAGCTAAGCTCAGCTGTTACTTATAAATTCATCCTTGAAAAAAAGGACCTGCTTTTTGAGGGGGCATTTTCGCCTAGTAGTAATTATTATTATCATAAATCAGCTAACAATAACACTTGATTGATGTTAGTTTTGTCCAGTGAAGATGTTAATTATTCTGTGATGTTTAAAACATTAAAACTATCAATACTAACCGCCTCAGATTCACTGTGCTGCAGTTAGACGACAAGCTTCAACAGCTTGAGGGCTGTTTGAGAAATGCCCCTTATCACACTTGAAAAAAAAATTAAATTATTAAAGCGAATGAATGAATGTGAAATTACACAGTAAGTTTAAGGTTAAAACTCACTTTGAAAGTTTTAAGTCTAGTAGATCTTTGAATTCTGCTGGACTTGTACCAAGCCTACCTTAAAACTTTCTGTCTGAAAGTAAATCAAAAGAAAATAGAGTGAGAGATTTCACCTGACTGAGATACACTGACATAGAAAAGAAAAAGAAACTGGGTGTTTAAAAGTTGAAGATTGTGTTGATGGTGTTTTCAGCTGCACTATTTCTTACTTATTGATCCCTCTCTTTCTGGCTTTATTCAACAAAATGAAAATACCCTCAAATTTAAGCTGACAAAAAGTCAAAGAAAGTCCTTCAATTTGCTGGAGACGTACAATTACCTCTCAAATTTGTACCCACCAGGCAGTAAATTTGTTTTGGTGGATAAATCAATAAGACATTAATGTCACATGCCAAACTGACCACTAACTTTTAAAGCTCAAATGTCATGGTAATGCATAGTGTTTAAAATGCAAATTGCACTTAAATGCCTCTGAGTAAAAATGTGCAATTATCTTGTAACAAGTGTGTAAATCGAAGAACAGATGTTTGTTAGTGTCCTAATCCTAATGGACTGCCAGGAAGTCATCGTAGCACACAGCTATTATACACCACTCCACTAAAATGCCAGATGATGATTTACAACCCCCACAAGCCACCTACACATGAAAACAACAAAGGAACGCTCAAAATATCAAGACATCAGAGCAGAAAATTACATAGGCTGAACTCACTCTGTTCAGTAAGTCAATTTCTTCCTTCAGCTTCCCGATGAGGTCGTCTTTGTCCTGGTGGGCCTTAAGCAATCTGCTGTTCTCCTGACGCTCTCGGGCCAGCTCCTAAAAAAACAAACACACATAAATTAGTTATTACATTTGTATTTATGTTAATACACTTTGCTATTGGACTAAAAGCTGCCCTGTAATTACTTCGGTTTTATGAGAAATGGTAATTGTCAGATCCAGAATGCCTGCGCTTGAGCTGCCTGAAAGGAAAAACTCTAAATTAACTTTTTAAAAGGCTAAACACATTGGGAGTAGGGGTTTGAATGGGGCGGCTGCTGCCCTAAGTGAAGGAGTTCAAGTATCTCGGGTCTTGTCAACTGCAGAAATGTGGTCATTGTACCAGACTGTTGTGGTGAAGAACAAGTAGAGCACGAAGGCCAAGCTCTAGATTTACCTGACCCATGGTCATGAGCTCTGGGTAGCCACAGAAAGGCTCGCAGATGAAAGCGGTTTTCTTCACAGTTGGGGTTCACCCTTATAACAGGTGGGGGTGTTCTTGAAATGAAGTAATTTGTACAATGTGTCGTCTGACCATGCCTAAAGTAAGCAAGAGGTGCAAGAGTGTTTTGAATTGCCACACTTGATTACAAGGCAAAAGGCCTGCCTTCATAGAGCAGGTGAGAGGTTATGATTCGTGCCAATAGGTATGGGGTGTGTAATTTTGGACCATGGACCAAGGACATTCACAGTGTCAGTGTTGACAAGTGACAGAAGTAGTTGTGTGAAGAATGAAAAATTTGAATTGTTTATTTTTGGAAGATTGAGAAGGTTTAGGTTAGAGGGTTTCTGTGTGTTGATCAAATAAACTCTGTCGGATGCTTTAAGGAGCGCCGACATTCGAAAACAGCTTGGAGTAGAACTGCTGCTCCATCATATTAAGAGGACCCAGTTGAGGTGGTTTGGCCATCTGATAAGGGTGCCTTTTATATCCCACCTGGCCTGGGAAGGCCTTGGGATTCCCCAGGAGGAGCAACAGGAACTAGCTACAAAGATAGGCATCTGGGCTACTTTGATCAGCCTGCTACCACTAAGACCTGAACCAATCAGAAATGGATTGTAGATTGAACCATGTAAAAAGGGTTGAATGTACGTCTTCCACAATATGTATTCTACATTCCTATATGTTTAATTAGGTGGATAGAAAACCTCCAAACATTTCAAATGCAACTGTCTATGGGGGTGGTGATGGCACATAGATAAGATGCTAGCTTTTGGTGTGGGAGACCTGGGTTCAGTTCCCACTGTGACCCATCCACCATTGTGTTCCTGAGCAAGACACTTAACCCCTAGTTGCTCCAGAGGTGTGCGACCTCTGACATGTATAGCAATTGTAAGTCGCTTTGGATAAAAGCGTCAGCTAAATGAATAAATGTAAATGTATTCTGTATGAATTTATCTTTAATTCTGTCCAGCATTTGAAAGCCTTGGATGTGCCAAACCTACAACTGCAAAAAGCTGTATTCAACATTTGAGAATATTCAGGCCTGTGTATTAATTTGTTGCCACATTAAGGTCCAGCTTGAGAGTACTCTACTGTGATGAGACTGCTCTACTGAAAGCACATTTTACTTCCAAAAACATCTGGTTAAGACTGAGTCAATAAAAAGCATTGTATTTTTCTGACATGACAGTTCTAATCAAGTATATAATTTTCTATTTCCTAATTCAACATATTTTTCTAAATAAGCAATCTGTAATAATGAACACAACAGACAGTCAGTGAACAATGCTTTAACAGTTCCTTTGTCACAGTGCTTTTGTGCTTCCTTTAAAATTGTACTTGGTTAAAAGCCAGTGTGTTCCAGTCTGTCTCCTCCACAGTGAAAAAAATGGATATTGTTCCTTACTAAGGGAGACTGTATGTAAGATTCAACATGCATAAATGATAATGATGATTGTGTTTATGATGGAAACAAAGATCAGACCAGGATTTCCACAGGTTTCACTTTCTTTCTGTTACAGATAAGCATGAAATTGTTTCCATAGAAACCAACCAGGCAGGTACAGTAGAAGGCACAAAGCATAATGTAGCGGACATAAATATGCCCACCTATGAAACTACTAATGCCGGTGCTATAGATAACTGCAGCTTTCAAGTCGTATATACTCTCAACTAAAACACACCTGAACAAACATCTCTTGTACTCTTGTCACACCAATACGTTATGCATGCTGTCTCCATTAGTGGTTTCATTCTGAATGGGTCAACATGTGTCATCTGACCTGGCTCCATGACTCTCCTCCCAACCTGGTTTGAGGTTATACATTACCTGGCTTTGGAGAACAAGTGTTTCTGTGAGTGATACGTATTTATGATGATCAAACATACTGCACATCTCTGTACTTGTGAGGTTTTTCAGCAATGCCTAAAGGACCTAAAGTTGCAGCCTGGTGTCTCAGAGATTTACTTGCCAGTAGTCTCATATGAGCGGACCTGTGTCATACACACTTCCTCTTGTATGGGAGTGAAAGAAACAATGTGCAAAAAAGTATGAAATGGGATTTTTAAAGTGTTTCTAGTCATTTGACACAAAGAAAAACCTTGCACAGAGAGTCACTGAGGTCACAGCGGTACTTACTTTAAAACCTTTATTTGAAAACCACCCAAGTGACATTTGATTCCGAGTTGAATTTCTACAGTGGCAGCAGAGAGGGGTTGAGTGTCTGACGGTGTATCTGCACTGTAAAAGGTCATCTTTTCAGCAACGCTGAGGAGAACTTCTGCCAGTGCTGAGCCACAGTTTCCAGCCAGAAAATCAGAACTCGGGTGGCAGCTCAAAGGACTCAAAGCGGTGTGTCTGATAGAGGCTTTCAGTCGACCAAAAGACTGTTGTTTAGACTCCTACATACTCAGGGAGCATTGAAAAGTGTATAGGATTTAGTATTGATAGCAGATGTCAATCATAAAGCCGATGCTTCCTCTGTGATTTTACATTTCCATGTCGAATTAACTGTGGTTGCACCGAGGGAAGTATAGGTATATATATATAGGAAGGAAAAGCCACTGAAACTCAGCTAGGGATTTACTTCGCTGAAGGATTTTCTTCAGAATTCATATCCTATTTCGGGGTGCAACTGACAACTTCATGGTCGAGCAGTAGGCACAGTGGAAGATGAGTTTACGCCACAGGACAGCACTTTAGAAGAAGAAATCATGTATGTTTTGGTTCAAGTCAGGACAGTAGCTACCAATAAGGACATGCGGCCCTGTCCTCAGTATGTGTGGGTTTTACAGATATGAGTGGGAATTTATATTCTATATTCTTTAATTTGACTTTTTGTATGAAATGTTCTGAAATATTTAGTATTATTAATATTAAAAAAATATTCCTGGCAGTGTGAAGAATGATTTTAAATGATTTATTTTAGGGATGAGCTGAATAAAATCCAAAAGTGAAAGTCATTTGGTTCTTATTCCATTGTGGTTGCATATTTAGCAGTGGCTGCTGCTGTAGCAGTAGGAAGATGAACTGGTGATATACTGTAAAATGTTAAAACTCCACTGGCAAGATGTCCATAAAATGTTAAGCCTGTTTGATACGAAAGACTTCGGAGTCCCGCTCCATATGTAGTTGCACTCTTAAGAACAACACCATGACCTTCTCACAGCAGGGAGGAGATAAAACCTGCCAACATGTGTTTTCTGACTCATCTGGACCATGATACTGAACAGTTTAGTCTCAGAGCAGATGCCCACATTGACTCACCTTTTCAAAAGCAAAGATTTGAAAAAATAACATTGTTTTAAGGCTGGCATTAACCTTTGTAATGGAAACCCAACAAACTCATGTGAGTTATATAATGAAACGTGATTATTTGCAATTAACAATTATTTGCCATCTTGTTAAGAGTTAGATATGAAGATTGGTACTATTCTCATATCCAGCAGGTGATTAGATTAACTAAGCAAGACTGGAAGGAGGGGGAAACAAGTTAGTCTGGTTCAGAATCTATTATTCACCGCTTATTGCCTTGAGATATTCAAAGCACATATTTTATAGTAAAACCACAACATTTTACAGTTTGGTTTGTGTCCATGTGAATAAGTGAACTTAAGAAATACTGGTCACATATATTTTTTTCATTTTCTGCTTCTCACTGCTTCCAGTCTTAGGCTAAGATAATCTCTTCCTGGCTCTAGCTCCATAGTTAATGCACAGACATGAGAAAGTGAATTGATCTTTTCATTCAACTATTGGCAATAAAGTAAACCATGTAAATGTATTTCCCAAATTGTCAAACTAAACATAACTTAACTGGCTTGCGTTTGTATTGGCGGAGTATTAATTAGTGCCAGTAGTGACAGTACCTGAGTAGTAATAGGGTCAAGAGTCTTACCTTCTCCAGCTCCTCCAACCTTTTCTCCAAACTCCCTGGTCCTGTAGCTCCTCCATCTCTGCCGTGACGGTTGTGTCGATGTCTGCTATTCCCACCAAACTCTTCCTCAGATCCTGGCCCTGCAGAGCTGTTACAAAGAAACACACAAAAACATAACTATACAAGCTGAACGCTCATGTTTTGTTTGTTTATTACTTACTTACTACTTATTACAAATTCTTCACATGCAAAAGAAAGTTGGGAAAAAAGAGTGAATTTTCCACTCTCCAAAGTGTCCAATACTGTTTTCAAACAGACTGTTTTAAGGTATGAATCATACACACATTATTAAACTTCAATGGGGTGACACATCCATCATCAAAAGAACAGGTGGGAATATCTTCTGCGTGTTTGCCCTTTCAATTAGGCATGCATTATTAAAACCCTTCTGCCTTTTATTCCATTAATGGAGAAAAGGCCGTCAAGGGTTTGCAACTTTGGTGCAAAAAGGATTCTGATTAAGAAACAATTTACATATTACAACTTCAAATAGGCTCAAGAATGGCAGCTGCAACTTGTGCGTCACTGTTCTTAAACTGGTGAAAAAAAAAATGGTTTTAAAGCATTTTGTATGCAGCTTGAGCAGAACATTAACCTTATCTCTTCTTCACTTCCTTGCTGCTTAGAGACGGATTCCGGGGAAGTCGGGAAAGAATATTTGTGTGCAGTTTATTTTCTTACTGACCTTATTTCAATAATTATTGACGTGGAAACTTGGAATGAGTTGCTGGCTCTGTACCTCCCCGACTACAACAACTCCCACTCCCTGGTAGGAACAGATTGTGCCAGGTTTATAAAATCTCCCCAGGAATCAAATTATTGGGGAGCCTGTAGGCATCAGTGAATTATCTGAAGGGGGCTGTCTGCATATTTCTACAACTGAAACCGACAGGAAAGCTGCTGGCAAGACAAAGGACAAATATAACTCCTATGTACCATCTGCATTCCTTTCAGGATCTGCCAAATATGATGTTCCCATTATTAGATGATTTCACAAAGTACTTTTAACTCTGAGATTGGAGAGGCAGTAATGGTCAATATGGTTAAAAATTGTCACAACATAGATTTTCTGTTGTTGTATTTCTCTAGGCCCTGCGATGGACTGGCGACCTGTCCAGGGTGTACCCCGCCTTTTGCCTGATGTCAGCTGGGATTGGCTTCAGCCCCCCGCGACCCTGTACGCAGGATAAGCGGTTGACGATGGATGGAGGGATGGATATTTCTCTAGCATGTCTTAGCTTTTACTGGATAAATGACAGTGTAAACACATGGGTGAATTTTTAGACTACACCTTGACACCCCATGCTAACACTTTCTTAAAGGCGCAGGAAAGTTTCTTACTGTGACTGATGGGATACTAAATGACCACACTATGTTCTGCCAGAGTTAGAATAGTTTTAGTCATTTTGAGATTGGGAGATTTCTGTTTTTTTTGTTTTTAATCTCTTTTCTTCTCACTGGTTTGACATGGGTATTTGAATAAAGGTGATGTCATTTATTACGGTTCACCAATCAGAGTTTAGTGGTCCAAAACTCCTGAGCTAGCAGTGTAAACAGCAACACTGCCCTGGAGCTCTGGGCTCCCAGTCCAGCAGAGTCAGCTAATATAACCCTAGGCTGACTGGCTAACTGAGCTAATTAGCAGACAGTAAGCAGCAGTTACTTTAGCAACAAGTAAAGCTAAATCTTTCCATCAGGAAAGTTATTTTGTCCATAAAATATTATCAAGTTTCACAAAAATCAGTTAATAAAGTCTTGTTTTTGTGCAGTAATCAGCAGGGGCCGGCCCCCAAAAGCACTCCTAATTCTTGTCTCATTTGTGGTCTAATAAACAGTAAATTCATCTAATTCAGTGCCCAGTATTGCTATATTCCAAGCTACAGTTGCTGTCATACACACATTGTGTCAACATGTCAACATGTACCAAGAATACCAAGCTAGCTTCTTCTTAGCTGAAGATCCACAGTTTTGTGGATTATCCGGAATTGCAGAGAAACGCAGTACAGCTTCTTTATTTATCCATTGTTAAGTGTTATGGTCAAGCGGTCTGGGTAAAGAATTAGAACATGGAAAACAGCTGAAGATCTTTGCAGAATGTGGTGAAATACGTGAAGAGGGCAAATGTACGTTTACAGTAAAGTACAAGATATTTCATGATAGATATGGCTTAAAGTTATGGTCTTGGGTAGTTGGTTTTAGCTCAGCAATCACTTTGATTTGATTGACTTTTGATTTATGTTTATGAGGGAACATATTTCAAACACCAAATATACCAAATATAAAATGGACATTTTCATATCGTCCAGCATGTTTTTTTGCTGGATAAACACTTACTGAAAAGTGACAAACTACAGACATGAGCCTCATGATGTAAACACAGGCTTAAGTTTCATATTCTATTTCACTCTACTCAGCCATTCTTCTTTTCTCTAGTGAGGTTTCTGTGCCATTTCTCATACACAAGCAAAGGCGGTATTTTTCTGTAGCTTGACATTTACAGAACCAACAGCTTATTTTCGCTCATTCTTACATAGAGCCAAACATTGCTGTGGCCATCGCTTTTGATCAAGAGGGAGTCCTTGAAACGTTCTTCTTGGCGCACGCCTACGCCAAGATAAAGTGCATTTCATTTGTCTCTCTCATTCACAGCTACTCTTTTTTTCATTTCCATTTTTGTCTTTTGTTTTTAAATTGGCATGAGCACACACACGCACACACGTAAGCATGCATTACAAAGCGTGACAATGAATACATCCCTTCAACATGATGCCTAAAAAGAGCCAAATACAAAACAATGACATGCCTTGTGTGTTTACATCCATGCATGTCATGTTGTTTCTAGAGATATTTCCCTGGTCGCACACACACACACACACACAAACAAGAGTACTCTAGGGTGCTCAGCGGGTGTTGAAGCCAAGCCTAAACATCCATGGCCTCGATACTAAATATCACACCGTGGCCCATTAGCACCCTGCAGGGTGAGGTCTGGGGGAGAGAGAGGCTGAGCCAATCACACACTCTTGGGAGCCTCAGCAGGTGGGAAGGAGAAAGCAGAGACGCAAGAGGCTACAGCAGCAGCCACAGGTTTAACAACGTCTCTCACAAAAGTGTCAATGTGGAATGAGTCAAAACTATACTGGAAACCACAACACACAGTGCTCAACCATCTGATTACCACCATGCCTATTTCATGATACTTACCATTCCCTCAAACTCCATTCACAGTCGTTTTAAAGATGTAATCAGTAATATCTCCCAGTCCCAAAAGATTCTGATCATTTATGGGTGGGGGCTTGCAAGTGTAGCTGATCAATGTCAATCACTTCTCTTTTATCTCCATGGCAGCTGATATTTCAAGCTTTCTAGATAGGCAGAGCTGGCCCAGGTGTGTTTTGGTTTTGAATGCTCCAATCTCCAAGGTCCCTGATGAGCTACCCAAGATGAGCTTCAGTATGTACATAGTTTCTTTTTGTATTTTTTCTTTTAAAAAAGGTAGAAGCAGCTTCAGACACTGAACTATTTTTGATACTGATGAAGTGTTGGGATGCAAGCTAACAAGTTAAAGGGAAACTCTGGCATTTTTCAACCTGTATAAGTGACAAATTGGAACAACTATTTTTGAAACCGGTTCCAGCAATGTAATCCTTTCTGGGCATATGTGCACCGCCAACGTATGTCCACTAAAAGAGCTTGTTTTTGCCACTGAGCAACAGTGTTGTCACTCTGTTCAAAGTCACCAGACTCCACTGACAAAAACAGTAATTTTATCTCACAGAACACAGGAATTGGTGGTCTACTGCAACATTACAAAAGGAGTTTTTTTGTTATTGCAAATAAACTGCTGCTTCGATATATTAGTTAGTTTGTGTTATTGTGTGACTTTGGGGTTTTATAGATCTGAACGTCACACAGACTTACAGAGACCCAACAATTCCCACCATGGCTTGGCCACAGTGGCATGGAAAGGCTCCCGCTTAACAGGGAGAACCTAGACAAAGTGTGGGCCTCAATATCACATACGACACATTTATTTAAAGAAATATTGCAAATAAAGGCGGCAAAGACACAAAAAACATGGGGAAAAGGGTCCAGGTTGAAAAAGTACTATAGGTTTACTATAAGTACTTATGTTCTATAGCAACCACGCAAGGTGCCAACAGCTCACCAGAAAGAAACTAATAATTTACACACACACACACACACACACACACACACACACACACGGCAGGGCGTCCCCGAGCAATTTGTATCCAAGTCCCTTGGGCAAGATACTGAATCCCAAATTGGGGAGCCGGAGATCAAACCGAGATTAGTGGGCAACCTGCTCTACCTCTAAGACACATGCACCCTATCAGACATGTTTCACTGCTCAAAAGCAAGACGATATTAAACGCTAGATATTTGAATAGAATTTAAAGCGATATCCCCATTTAGGATGGAACACCATGTATCTTCGCTGCAAAATAGTTAAAAAAAAAAAAAACAACATTACAAAAGGAGTTTTTGTGTAGAGCAGGGACAAACTGTACAAGGGAATGGTTCGAAAGATAAAGTTACCGAGACAGGGGAGGGTTGACATAAAGGGAGTAAATTAGAGAGACACACATCTATAAAGTTGCTCTATCAGCCATCTTGTGCTGCCCAGCCCACCTGGCAGGTTATCCATTGCAGAACTGCAGAGCGTCCAAGTGTGGCCAGGCCAGCTGATGAGAGCAGCAGCCATAATTACATGGCCAGATTGAATGTCAGCTGGTGAACTTGGCTGTTGGGGTTGGCCACAACTTCACAGTTTGGTTGCAAATAATGCAAAAGAAAATACACACTGGAGATTCTCAAAGGACTTCACCACCTGTAATGTTGCGTAACAATTTGCGTTGTGAGGATTAATCTAATCAATAAGTTGCACCACTTCCCACTAGAGAATGGTCCAGCAGCAATTCAGATGAAAACAATGTAAAACATTTATAGTGTGTGAATATTGTTTAATTGATACTGTAATATAAGGGAAACTGATGAAATAAAAACAATTTTCATCAAATTTTGCTCTGTCAAAACATCTACAGCAAATTGTGTGAAAAAAAAAATGGCTCAGATTAGGTGTCTGTCCAAACATCAATCTTTATGGAGGTTGTTTGAAAATCTGAAAGCCCCTTATCAAATGCCAAAGCAATCTTGACCGAACAGAACCCCACATTTTAGACTCCAAACCTTTCAAAGCAAATAATTTACTTTCAACACTCCCTGCCAGCTATGGCAGCGAAGTGATGGTCTGACCAAAGTGTCCAAGGTCCAGATGGTGTCCTGTCAACTACTGTTCAAAACAGTCATCTTTCTTGAGCCCAAAGCATGAAAAGAGCAGCACAGAGGAGTGGAAAAAAATCAACAGTGATGCACCAGAAAAAGGCCCTCAGACCATTTTAGAAGGAATCTGCTCTCGTAAATAATGACTCAGTGCTGTTTCTCAGTCTGGCCTTTGTTCCTTCTCTTGACACATTACTAGTGATCCAGAAGCAGATAAACTCCACTCTACAGTGTCAGGATAATAAAATGAGTCTTACCTCTTGTGGCGGCCGCTCCCAGATCGGGGGGTTTCCTGAAACAAATAGGAAAGGAATACTTTCAGACCAAAAACAATAACTCAAGGGTCTAAAACTGCAGAACCAATGTAATTTGGAGCAGTGATGTCTCTAATTTCAAGCAGTAATGTAATTTCAGAAAAGCAGTGTATGTCAGAGTGAACTTTTAGGTATCATCTATTGTGTTCATCTGCCTTGGGTTGTGTTGGGTCACCAAAAAAAGAAAAAAAAATAATCACAAAATCCCATCACGAGATAATAGAAATTTATCAAGAGCAGCACTTATAGAAAGCCTTTAGGTTGTGTACGAACGTTTGCGAATCGCAGCTGCTGAGCTGATATATAGATAAGCTTTGTTGCATTTAATAGTTCAGCAGGAGCCCTATAGCCCCAAGTTGTGGAAGGCAATTTTATTTTGCAAAATGGACGTGTATGTTTATCTTCTTTTCCCATTACTGTATGATCTAAAGGTTGTTTAGTTCTATACAGCAGTCATGCTCCAATAAAGTCGCCTTTGGTAAAACAGCGCCTCCCTCAAAGAATGAGGTTCATGTCACAGATGCCGTGTGATGAATACACATCTCCTCTTTCCTAAGGTCTTGTGCAGTGAAGGGTCCCGGGTTTGATTGAGGAGCACTGGCTCTGTTACAATCCATCAGTCAGAAGTTGGCTTTACTGGGTGAAGGGAAACGTTGTGCCCGACTCTTAGCATGCACCAGCCTCTCTCTCTGAGTGACATATCATCTATTACCTGTGGGTGAAATCCCGGCCCTCATCTCCTCCCTGGCTCAGGCCGGGATGGATTAACTATGATGGTGGATAGTAAGAGGGCAGTCTGCAGCAGCACCGGGTCATGCATATCATACGTATCATCTGCGCATATGGCCTGGTTCAAGCAACACCTGGATTTAAGAGCAGTTTGATTCATTTTGTTTTTGAAACAGATATTTTCTAATTGTAATCCAACAGCTGTTGCAGATGCACCTGAAAAGGCTTTTCTAGCTCCTCATTCTTTCCCCACAAACTGTCTTATCAGGAATTTAATTGAAAGCAGGCAGATGGTGCTTCTAAACAAGTGTACTGTACTCCAATTTCAGAGTGAGCCTGAACCCATTAAGTTTATTACAGAGTAGAACCATGGAGTTGGTTTGCTTGAGACCTTTAGAAAATAAGACCCAGACCAAGTATAGCTTAAGGATTAAGACAAAAACGGAAGATCAGTGTCACACATCTAGGAGTGCAAGTAAAACTTTCTTCTATTGAGTGACATGTCAGTTATTTTCTGAATTAACTGACTGTTCAGTCTATAAAATGTCAGAAATCTGTTGATCGACTAGGTGTTTCAGTACTATTATTACACACCTGTCCTAAGGTAAATAATTAGGTATGGAGAAAAAAGCAGCTGTAACCCCACGTTTCCTCTGACAGAGCGTCCTGTCAATACACATCATAGAGTAGAAATGGAAATGCTGTCTAAATGTAAATGTGTGTTTACTCTCTTGCTTCCACAGTCTTGTGTAACTTGAACAAACCAAGAGGATTCTTTGATCTTTTGAATATACAGCTGACCGGGAAACCCTGAGCAGCTAGTTTTCCAAAAGGAACCTGACAATGTAGAAAATAACTGTTTGCTTTCACATTTCCCCAGAAATGTTACTATTTTGTAAGATCCAGCATGAGCATGTTTCATATTCAAAGTCTATTGGCCTACTGACAAGGGTCAGTGGACTGGATTGATTGAAAGGGCTGAAATATGAGTCAAAACAACAATATGAGTGAAGGTCACAGCGGTCAGCGGACGTTGCCAATCCTCCTTTGGACATTGTGACATGTGCAGTCAAAACAAAATGCATATAGACTGTAAAGCTAAAGCAGAGGGGGTTTATCTCCTGCACCCAATGGCTAGCACCTTTTTGACTGGTATAAATTAAATGCTGGTGTTAAAGATAAGCATTTCTGCAGCCACAGGAAAAAACTGCAAAATTTCTCCAAAAGTAATCAGTTACTCAGTTATATATGAGCAACTACAGGACTAAATGATTAAATTGTTTGTTGTAGGGAAAGAGAGGCAACTAATCAAAAGAATGACTGTGTTTAAAATAGGATATACTTTGATGGGCGAATTTGTTCCCAAGGATTACCATTGTGACCCGTTTTGCTATTGCTGAGGTGTAGACCCAGAACACTTTGGCGAATTAAGGGTTTATTTCGATCAAAACGAGAGCTGATTGTTAGAACAGGCAAAAGACAACAAAGATAGTTTTGGTGAGTTTGGTGAGAACATACAAGTATCAATAAAGCAACGATACAGTAAGAGATCTACAAGTGACAAAAGATAGTAAGAGCAGCAATAAATACTAGTAAGAGCTAAAAGAATATATGGCATTAATGGGGTAAATACATAAGCATAAGCAAAAAAAAGTAAGTGTTAATGGTTATTTTGTTTCTTTCCACTTTGAATGAAGTGTCTTTTGCAAGGTAAAATGACTGTTTTGCTCAATAGAGTCTGTTGGGCCATCGCACCCATTTGATTTGGTCTGAGATGCTTGTGCTCTAGTGCATTTAGTAGCAGTGAATGTTGCATACAGCTCCTTTAATGGCCTCCAGCTATTAGACCCTCTTCAGTGTTGCGTTGACTTCAGATTAGTTCAGAAACACTGCAGAAACAATGAAGAACCATATCTGATCTGTTTATAATCATCTGCAGTTTGTCAGAGTCTCACGCAAATTCATTATCTTGTACCATATTCTGAGTACTGCAGACAGTTTCAGGCAGTTACACTGAGGCAGCATGTCCACCCTACTACAGATAGATAAATAGAAAATGCCATGTATGTGTCAACCAGGGCTCCATCCTTACTATGACCTCTTTTGATTGGTAAACAAAGAGAATTGCAGTCATGCAGTCACAATAATTTATATGAAATATATCTTACAAACACTCAAACACATTATATCAGTATGCGATATAGTCAAAATTACCATATTACATAAGGTACATACGTCTGTGGTTGATACGCAGTTGAAAATCTGAAATTGAAATCATATTGTGTTTACAGCAAACACCCAGACTTCATTTGCCACATTACTACTGCAACTTTTGGCAAAGTTTTTTTTGCAAGTGTGCACCTCCTGTCTGGGATATGAATCTGTGAGACAAGGTCAGTGTAATTCATGTGTGACTTCTTCACTGCACACAATATAAGCTTGGGCATCTTTATTTATCATGCCTGAGCTGCGCTGACAGCTCCCATAAGCCCAGCTACAGCGTTTAGAGCTACTAAGGATACAGAGAGACAAATATCAACAATAAAAAAAGTGCTTTATCAGTGACCTTAAGCAGATTAATACTTTATGTGCATTTCTGTGTGTATGTGTACCTGTAAGAAACACTCCATGCCACTTTCAGACTTATAAAACACATTCAAATGTCTTGCTCGGACATTTACGGCTTGATGTGATCCACGATTTATGTCTTGACAGCTCTTTAAATTTAAAAATCTCTAAAGGAATGCCATCCAATTCCATGAAAAGGTGATCTTTGGCTTTCTATCCAGCCACTAACAGTGCAGCGCTCAGAGCATTTCTCTGCACAAAGCTGATAAAGATCACAATTTTACTGGAGGAATTCAATAAGTTCAAGAAAGAGATATATGTATTCATGATTGGCATTTAGAAGATGCGGGCAGGCCAAATACATGAACCAGCAAAACTAGGCTACTGGAAAGTCTCTATCTTGGGAAAGCTCACTGGCTGTCTTTTGTTTGAAAACGTCTGAATTGTTTTCCCATCGTTCATTGCTGCAATTTCTTTATGCCTCACACAACGTTTTCATTAAGATGCCTCACCTAGCTGTCTGAGTCTTTGATGCCGGCTGAAAATAGATGTCAAAATGCCAACCTGGCACATCAATTGAAGGCTGAAGATGAAAACAACACTAACCTGCAAACTACTCTGTAAACAGCAGCACAAAGGCATGTTAACCTCTTGCCCTTGTGAACGTGAAAGGAACTTTTCCCTGTATTTCACTAAGGTTCTTAAAAGAACTAGTCTTGCACCTATGTAATGTCTGTACTAGAAACAAAACAGGCTGCTTAATCTGCACTGTGCACCTTATTTTTTATATTCATGTTTTAAAGTGGTGATATTATGCTCATTTTCAGGTTCATCATTTTATTAAGAGGTTGTACCACAATAGGTTTACATTTAATTTTCAAAAAACACAATATTTTTGTCATACTGCACATTTCTGCAGCACCTCTATTCACCCTGCGTGTTGAGCACTCTGTTTTAGCTACGGAGTGAAACATCTCACTTCTATTTGATCTTTGTTGGGAGTTGCACATGCGCACTAGGTACTGCACCAATCAGAAGCAGAGTAGGGCGGGTCCTGACATGCTGGTAACGACGGCTTCGGTTCAGCTGTACATGTTCCCGAACCAGCTTCGCAACCTAGACTGGAGCAAAAGTTTCATAGTGGTGAGTTAATGGTTTGTAACAAACGGATCTTTTCATATGTAAAGTTTTAAATGTGCACCTTCTCTAAATCACAGTAACAACTTTATGTCCATTGACTGCCTAACGTTTGGTAGAGAGGGTGGGGCTGAGGGGAGGCAGTGGGTGGATGTCACTTTGTGTGCTGTAGCTCAGTGTGTTTCTCCACACTAGCCACTAGGAGAGTATGATGACGCAGATAGTTTACGGAAGTAAAGGCTGGACTACAGTCGAGCTGTTTTCAGGCAGTTTAGGAACAGTGTTTTCTGTTGGAGATGGTAACTCCCTTTCTGGTGGACTTTTTCACTTTGCAAACCTATTGCATGAACTAAAAAATATATAACACAATAAAGGAAACGGAAAGGCCAAAAAACATAATAAAAACTCTTTAAATGATAACTGAATTCAATGATCAGCTCTGCTGTAGTCTCCTTTGGTTTGCTGTGAGGACTTTGTTTAGTTTCTCACCAACTAGCTAAAATATTTTTGCTGGTGGCTGTCCTGTCAAAGATAAATATTGGTGTGGCTTATATAACAGTAATGCTTGAAATCTTGAATCAACAAAAGGTGTGAACGGTGATTAAATGTAGTCTCAGGCAAAAATTCAGTTTGCTGCTAGCACAGGGAGCTGCTGCTCATGGTTGGAAATGCCATGTGATGGGTAGTGAACATTTGCCTGCTGTTCAGACAAGATGCTCTGCATCAGCACCATTTTTTGGACTGAAAGGTGCTAATTAAAAATGCTAATGAGGCTTGTTAAAAAGTGCTGGATGGAGATTGTAGGCAGTTATGTGCTTTCCATGTGAGAGAGAGGCAGAGAAGAGATCTGAGCAGCTATGTTGTGGACCTGGCGCCACATTAAATGCAAATGATCCCGAGGAATGTTCCATATGGTTCTGGATGCTGGATCACTGAAACAGGGTTCCTTGTAGGACTTACATACCAGAGGGAGGTAAGGCCTGATAACCAGGAACACATGCCTGAGGTGGGCCTCTCTGACTGGCCATCACTGAGTCTGCATAGATCAGATAGATGTGTCCAGTCACACGAAGAAGAGATGTGTGTTCATGCACAAATACACATCAGCACTATAAGCAAATTTAAATGGAACACAGGTCCTTTGAAAGAGATGGAAAAATGTAATCTAAATCATCTGATAAAATATTTAATAACCATGATCGTTTGTGGAGTTTCCATTATGTCTTTAGCAGCAGAAGAGTTACAGCTTATTTTGGTTGGGAAATGCTCTGAGACCTGGGGAGACCCTACAGCTCTGAACACAAGTTGAACTGAGCTTTTTTTTTTAAAGAACTTTTTGTCCAGATATCTTCATACCAGACTGGACGCTGTATATCATAACGGGCCTGACATGGCAATTGCTTGTCTCCCCTTGATAAATGGGGCCCGGGAGGAACGGCACATTTTTGGGATGCTCTGTCTCTACAGATGTCTAACTGACAGCTCTGTAGTAAATCCACTGACCACACTGGATCTCTCCTGCTCTTTATTTCTCCCAGTCTGCCTCCTTATGAGCACGCTGGCACAGGACCCCCGGCAGAATATAAATGTCAGTTTTATATGAGTGACAGTGAGACATCTAATGGCTAGTTTCTGCATAGCCACATCTGGTCTGCATTAGGCGTTATGTTGTAATGAAAAGAATAGATTCAGCAGGCATGAATAGACATATTCTGTTTCAAATGATGGACTGTGAATCTCTTCCTCTAAATGGACAAACTGTGAGGAAGCTGCAGAAAACCAATTCTACTGAACTGCCTGTTGTTTGCCTAGGCGTAGACTAGCTGATGTAAATAGTTGAATCCTTTGCTTTTTATTTTTTTTATCCGGGCCACATCTCAGCAGGTGCTGTCACAATTTTCCTGTTAGTGTGGTGTTTGTGTCGATATTTCATACACAAGCCCTCGCTTTGCGTAAACAGCTTCAGACGGTTCCAGCCCAAAACAAAATAAGCCTGCTGGTGCATAACAGCCAATCCACCTGGAATGCAACTCTTCGCTGCATCCATAAGAGTTGTCAGAGCCGTCTGATTTGTATTTTTTATTTCTTTCAAATAGCAATTTCTATGTCAATCAGATGATGTTTTACAGAAATACAGAGTGGAGGCTGCAGTGGTTGTTACACAGCTGGATGCTTTTCATATCCTCCGTGTGCTCAATTTCTTATTGAAAATCACTCCGTGTGTATTTGAAGTAAGTTTGAAATTACATACACTGCACTACTGAATATGAACTACTGTTCTCGATAAAAAAGAAAGAAAAAAAAGACTCAAATTATGAGCGTGTCATTTCTGATTTGGTTTCAATTTTACTAATTCATTTATGTCCTCACTCTACAGACAGCTCCTGGTCTTATTTGGAGGAAGAGTCTCTGCATGGGTTGACTTTTATTAAATAAACTTGCCAAGATTAAAAGACTCATTTTGTAGACATCAACAGTCGCTGACTCACATAGTTAAGAACCACACACCTTATACACAAAGCAGATCCTAACACTGGCTTTGAAATGAAGTTAGATGAATGTGGCTCTTAAGTTTGTGGACCTTAGCTACACAGAGAAACACTATGTGGTGTGTAATGTAGAAATCACTGCTTTGTTTCATGTTTGGGGTTGAAACTAATTATATTCATTATCTGTTATTCCATTGATATTTTGCTTAATTGATTACTAGTTTAGTTTGTAAAACAACAAAGAAGCGCAAGTTGACATCTTCATATTGCTTCTTTTGTCAAATATATTTAATTTACAATTGAAAGAAAACTGTGAAAAGCAGAAAATCCTCATTTCAGATATCCTCACATTGTAGATCCCCTTTCAGTCCATCAGTTAATCAATGAATGCACAATTCATCCCAACACGCAAAATATGTCTCTCTATAAAGTCTCATCAACAGTAGCTGCATAGAAATAAGTTTATGTCACACTTTGTATGTTCAACCAGCTTCAGGAATAAGCAAATCAAAAGGGCACAGACTTTAAGGTGTTTCTTTTTGCTTTTAGCCGATTTCACGGTGATGATGAAATACTGAGACACCTTTGGGTTTTGCATCACTGCAGCTTTTCACACAAACTCAGCTCCTGAGCTCTCTGGGTGTCTCCTTGAGCAACAGTGCCTCAGTTTGGCAGCACTGATGTATCAATCTGTACAATATTCTGCTCAAGTAAAGCGTGGAGGAGAAGTAGAACATCATTTGAGGCAGAAAATACAGACTGGAATACACAGGCACTACTGCAGACATCATGTCTCTTCTTGGATGTTGGAAGACTTTTTGGCTATGAATAAACTCTCTATGAACTCAGTGTTCATATTGAACAATGATTGTCTTCATTGTATTGGGGTGGAAATCTCAAACACATGGGTAAATACCACCAAAACTATCCACAGGGTTAGTCACCTCCAGAGGTAGAGTACATGGGAAAACATTATGAGTGTGTAGCTCTCTCCTCCTACCTCCTGTCATGTCACGTTACGTCTTACCATTAAGTGGGCAGTGGCGAGGTCAGCTGTCATGGCCTCGTTCTGGAAAGTGTTGGCCTGAACCAGCTCCTCCTCATTCCTCCGGTCCTTTTCACCTGCGTCATCATCGTCCAGCTCATCCAGGCTCTGAGAAAAGAAGAAGAGAATGACAATGGAAGACAAATCATTAGACCAGCCATGGGTGGAGTAGGAACAGTCACAGATATGTTACGTTTACATGCACACATGAAATCGGAGAACAAGATTATATGCATAGAAAGAAACACCTTGGTGTTTGGGGACCAAATTTGCTACATGCAAGCTTTGGCTTACAACTTCAAATAATGCCTTCATGCTTATTGTGACACATTTCATTAATCAACAGCAAACCATTCATAAGCACATGAGAGCCCAGTAGGACAATTTTTATAAAAGTATATAAAAGTATATAAGTGTTTATTTATTGTTATTTTTTATAGACCGCCAGTTTCAGTCTTCGTTATGATTTTATTATTTTGGATACAAAGATGCATGGCTGTGAGTATTGTGAGAAAATCGTTAGTAACCCTTTAACATGGCCAAGGAATCACTTTTCTCTGACAGAAACCTTGCTGTTCTAATCAGGTTTCTCTAATCCCTTACTATGATTTTAAAGAAATCAGGTTTCCCCATTTACATGATGTAAAGAAATCAGGTCCCTACAGAGAGCCAACAGTAAACTGGGTCACTTCAGTACATGTTAACGCTCTGACAGATGTGTGGTGACAGGCGAGGTCATTCCCACCATAACAGCGTTGTTGACCTCTGCCTCAACACGCCTAAGGTCTCCTCTTAATCCTCTTAAGACGTGATCACATTCACTTCCAGGAATCCCTGAGGAGCTGCAGCTCGAACACTACCACACACTAGATGGAGTCGAGCAAGGCAACAGGAAGACAGTCTGTTCGAGGGCCTTTCACCTCCTGGGGACAGTCAGAGGGGATTTCTGACCAGTGGAATGTCCCTTGAAAACACAATAAAAGACATGTACAAACATACAGAGAGCAAACATCCCTTTGACAGAGGAATCAGGGGGGGGATTGCTTTCATTATTTAGGCAGAGATAATGCACATTGCCTGGGAAAACCATCAACTTAACTCATTTCAATCTTAGCTTTATCATGAAATATGTGCACAGCCTCAGCTTCCTATTTGCAATACTTTACAGTGAACTGTGCGGTGGAGTTAACGGGTTCATCTGTCTAAGAGGTGAAGATGCATTGCTTAAAACAGAGCTCGGCATTAGGATGGATGGTTGGATCGTGACGAGAGACAGATATCGGGGCCAAACTCCCAGGAGGGCCACAATGCAAACCAGTCTTTCCTGCTTCACGCTGCAGGGCAAACAAAAGGTACCCGCTCAAAAGGCCCTTTTCGTGGTAAAAATAGCCTTACAAGGTTAACAAGGAATGCGGTCATTTGCAAGGCCTTTCCTGCCAAACGGTTTATCAGTTGTCCTTGGGGAAAACGCCAGCCCCTTTTCTTTTTGACTCTTACAGTCTAATGCCAGCCCTCTCTCTCTCCTGATACAACTCTGTGCTCACCAGTCCTCTCTCTGTCTCTAATATGCATGTACACAGGAGAAGACACAATAATGTGAACAAGCCCTGCAATAAATACTACCTTATTTATGTCAGAGAGGTTTGGATTTCCATAGTTTGTGGGGTTCTTAGGAAACTTTAATTACATCCATCTATGTGCACACCCACACAAGCCTACACAAGAAATATTTAGTTGCCAACCTGACACAGCATCATTTCAATATTAAGATGTAACAATATGTGGGAATTGAAGTACAGAGGTTTTGGAGTAAAAAAAAAAACATAGATAGACAAAGATATTAAACAGAAGTCTGTCTGTGTCAACACATAATGAATTGTGCAGTGACTAACCACTTTGCTATGCACACAGTTGCCTGAAATGTGGAATTGGGAATCTCAAAGTTTATTTTGGATAGAGATGCAGCCCGTTTTGCCCTCCAGTATTCCAAATTACTTTGCATTTCTTCTATTCCAAATAAAAAGGGAAAAGGGGGATCTGTGTGGAACCATATAAGGGATGTTTTTGCTCTCGACACCATAAAAATAAATCTGTTTATTTTTCTGGCCAATTTCTTACCTTGGGAGGGAAGTTGTGGAAGGATAAATGAGTGATGCTTTGACACATGTTAGAACTTAACAACGTGTTCACATTTAATAAATTTAAGCAATAAATATTTGGGATAATTTTCTCTTCTTTTCAAAAAACAAAACACAAATAGTGTTGTAAGATAAGAAAAAGTACCGTTCTTTAATATGATTTATGGTTGATTTTAACAGATTCAGATATTCTGACTGGACACATTGTTTTATTGAAAAATATCATGATTTTGCACCAGTATGACGGAGATAAATGTGAATCACACTTTCATCTTAACATCAATCTGGAAAAAAGTGCTATCACGTCTGGCTTTTTTCACCTAAAATAGTCATTTTAAAGTATTCTACTGTCAATCTTAATCAATTTTGGTTAGCTGGATGAATGCTCACAAGATGCAACTGATTATGTCTGATGGAAGCACATGGGTTAATTAAAAATATACAAAACAATTCAATATTTTAGAATCACATATTTATGATTAACTGCCCCCTAATGAGCTATAATTAAGGTAAATCCTGTAAAAAAAAAACAGCCAAAAGTTGTTATAAAATAACTTTACCAACATTGATTCGTGTGATGAGGATATGTGCCGAGCAAAAGAGATAAAAAAAAAACATTATTGGGGTTAAACTGAAAAAAGCAGAGAGATTTCCAGCTTCTGCTTCCTGTTTACAGCAGGACCAACGGCCTCACAGGATTGTTTACTTTAGCAAGACAAGTAAAACAAGTATCCTGGTCTGCTCCAGCCTCACTACCCACGTCCGTCACTTTTCACATGAAGAATTAAAGAAGCTACATCTGGAGCAGAGCTTCACGGTCTGTTGGAATGTCTGTTGTGGTTGGAAACTCTCTCTTTGGGGAGGAAAACGATCAGTCGTCTATTCTAAAGCTCTTCCCCTGGCTGCCAATATCTGAATGCATCTGATTCTTTGTCTGCAGAACAGCAGGCAGTGTGCTTTAGTTCTCTACAATGGAATTTTCCTTTTATGTGACTGTCAAAGTGATGGTGCCTCATGGTTATCTTGAGTGAGCTGAGAACATTGTGTGCCAGTAGACCTGCAGCATTAGAGTATATAAAAGAGGTAAGAAACGATGGACTGCCAAATTCTGACACCCAAATGTTCCGCAGCAAGTCGACTCAGGGGTGGATTGTATAGAAGAATTTAGCAGATGGTTTACGTGCAATTTCTTTTACGTGAACAGGAACATCTCACACAGACGTGAAATAATGAGCTCTAAAGATGTATTAAGTAAGAGGTGATGCTCCATAAGAACTTCTTCACTATAAAATAAGCTATGACACAGTAGTAAGAGAGAACATACAGTTCTTGATAGCAATGATGGAGTTCATTTAGCAATAAAGCAGAAAGTTACAAGCAGAGGTCAATTTTGAATAAGAAATAGGGGTCTTACCTTATCTACATATATCTTTCACACATTGTGATGGCTAAGCCTCTCTTAGGTTTTCCTTCTAGCACATGCATTTTTAAATATCTGATTTGTGACATCTGCAATTAAATAAAAACTCGCTTGTTACTCCCTCCCTTATTGTATACATACTTTACAATTGTTTAACACCAGATAACCTTTCAAACTGACTCCACAGAAAACAGTAGGCTTCTAACCAGCATTCATAAAAACCTTCTATTCTGGGTTCAACACTAAATAAAAAGTTTCATCTTTTGGCACAGTCATATTGAAATTTTATTTGATTAGAAACAAAATCCACTTATTGACTTGACTTGAGTAGATGTGAGACAGCAGTCTGTAAATATTTAATAAACCCTCTCTTAAAATGTATCATAAACCAAAATAGGACAGGAATATGATCTAAAATGTCTTTCATGATAGCTTACTTATATTTGGAATCATTGTAGTCTGACCAGCTAAAAATAGTAGGCTGACTGGTTGGTTTGTTCAAACATCATTAGCTGTAGCTGGTGTTTATTTTAAATGTATATATTTAAAACTGAGATTACAGAGTACATTTAAGGCTTGTCAATTTGGTTTATTTATCAGCCCAAACCCAAATACCCCCTCTTCTTCTAAGAGAACCCAGTTAAGATCCAATATGAACATCCATGCTGCCTTGTCACCCTGCCAGTGCCCTGTCCACTTAGTCCTCAGATTTATCTCTAAACAAGCAAAGGCCACCTCCGCCGGTGGCACACTCTTATACAGCAGGCTTAATGACTTGTGTGTATTAATCACATGCCACTCGCCACAGCACAGTGACTTCATTAAGATGATCTATTAGAGAAGAGGGACGCTGGCACACTGATGCCCAATGTCTTTTAACCAGGACTGCAAGTCAGCTCAGACAACAGCACAGGTTGGGCAGAGAGTTGCTGGCTGATTAATGTAACACTACAGACTGCCAAGGTCAGTGTTAGGTCCAGCAGAGGTACGCCAACTCTGAGCCAGAGTTAGACATCATTTGACAGCATCAAAAAGGTGTGACTGGACCTTCACTGATCTGCGCCACAAACATGAATAAATATTAAATTTATTCATATGATAGTATTCTTTATTTGAAATTGCATAAAAGACCAATCAGGAACTTAACCAAACTAGCTAGCTCCAGCCTCTCATCCAAATATCTTCATGTCCACACAGTCTATGATCAAGAGTTACTGGTATGTCTGTGCAAAAGGTTTAGAAGTGGTAGGTAATCAATGCCTGCACCCTTTTTATTTTAGAATGAAAAAAGGAAGAGTGTGCTGTACTTTTCTTGGACAAACTTTTTTTTTTAACCAGATGTTGAGTTCAGGCCAAAAAAGCAGCATACTTATGTTACACAGATCAACACAGAACCAAGGAAGAGGAGTAACAAAAGGAAGAAAAACATAAAAGGCATTAAACAGAATAAAACCCATTTCTCAGCAAAAACTAAAGCTGTACATTTTCAAGATTTAACACCACTGCATTTAAGATTTATCACCATTATCAATACCCTGTCTAGCTTAATT